ACTCTCTGTGGGGACTCTCTGTGTGGACTCTCTGTGGGGACTCTCTCTGTGGGACTCTCTGTGGGACTCTCTGTGTGGACTCTCTCTGTGTGTCTGGACTCTCTGTGTGGACTCTCTGTGTGGGACTCTCTGTGGGGACTCTGTGTGACTCTGTGTGGACTCTCTGTGTGGACTCTCTGTGGACTCTCTGTGGACTCTCTCTCTCTGTGTGGACTCTGTGTGGACTCTCTGTGTGGACTCTCTGTGGACTCTCTGTGTGGACTCTCTGTGTGGACTTTGTGGACTCTGTGTGGACTCTGTGTGGACTCTCTGTGGACTCTCTGACTCTCTGTTGTGGACTCTCTGTGTCTCTGGACTCTCTGTGGACTCTCTGTGGACTCTCTGTGGACTCTCTGTGGACTCTCTGTGGACTCTCTGTGTGGACTCTCTGTGGGACTCTCTGTGGGGACTCTCTGTGTGGGACTCTCTGTGTGGACTCTCTCTGTGTCTCTGTGGACTCTCTGTGTTTGGACTCTCTGTGGACTCTCTGTGACTCTCTGTGGACTCTCTGTGGACTCTCTGTGGACTCTCTGTGGGACTCTCTGTGGACTGTGGACTCTCTGTGTGTGGGACTCTCTGTGGACTCTCTCTGTGGACTCTGTGTGTGGACTCTGTGTGGACTCTCTGTGGGGGGACTCTCTGTGGGACTCTGTGTGGACTCTCTGCTCTCTGGGGACTTTGTGGACTCTCTCTGTGTTCTGTGTGGACTCTCTGTGGACTCTCTGTGGACTTTGTGGACTCTCTGTGGACTCTCTGCTCTGTGTGGACTCTCTGTGTGGACTTTGTGGACTCTGTGTGGACTCTCTGTGGACTCTCTGTGGACTCTCTGTGTGGACTCTCTGTGGGGACTTTGTGGAGTGGATGTTTAGATGTTCTGCAGAATCGTCTCACGGGGTTTTGTTTGTTTATTTGTTTGTTTGTTTGTTTGTGTTTTTCAGCAGTAAAAAACGCAGCCGCAGCAGAGAGAGGAAGAGGAGCCGAGAGAGAAAGAGGAGCCGCAGCCGCAAACGAAAGAGCCGCAGCCGAGAGAGACACCGCAGCAAAGAGAGAGACAGAGGGCGCTACAGAGAGCACCACGTGTGAGTACCCCACACACACAGAGAGTACCACACACACACACACACACACACAGAGAGTACCACACACACACACACACACACACACACAGAGTACCACACACACACAGAGAGACACCGCAGCAAAGAGAGAGACAGAGGGCGCTACAGAGAGCACCACGTGTGAGTACCCCACACACACACACACACACACACACAGAGAGACACACAGTACCACACACACACACAGAGTACCACACACACACACACACACACAGAGAGACACCGCAGCAAAGAGAGAGACAGAGGGCGCTACAGAGAGCACCACGTGTGAGTACCCCACACACACAGAGAGTACCACACACACACACACACAGAGTACCACACACACACACACACACACACACAGAGTACCACACACACACACACACAGAGACACCGCAGCAAAGAGAGAGACAGAGGGCGCTACAGAGAGCACCACGTGTGAGTACCCCACACACACAGAGAGTACCACACACACACACACAGAGTACCACACACACACACACACACAGAGTACCACACACACACACACACACAGAGTACACACACACACACACACACAGACACCGCAGCAAAGAGAGAGACAGAGGGCGCTACAGAGAGCACCACGTGTGAGTACCCCACACACACAGAGAGTACCACACACACACACACACACACACAGAGTACCACACACACACACACACACAGAGTACCACACACACACACACACAGAGAGACACCGCAGCAAAGAGAGAGACAGAGGGCGCTACAGAGAGCACCACGTGTGAGTACCCCACACACACAGAGAGTACCACACACACACACACACACACACACACAGAGAGTACCACACACACACAGAGAGTACCACACACACACAGAGTACCACACACACACACACACAGAGTACCACACACACACAGAGAGACACCGCAGCAAAGAGAGAGACAGAGGGCGCTACAGAGAGCACCACGTGTGAGTACCCCACACACACAGAGAGTACCACACACACACACACACACACACACAGACACAGACACCGCAGCAAAGAGAGAGACAGAGGGCGCTACAGAGAGCACCACGTGTGAGTACCCCACACACACACAGAGAGTACCACACACACACACACACACAGAGTACCACACACACACACACACACACAGAGAGACACCGCAGCAAAGAGAGAGACAGAGGGCGCTACAGAGAGCACCACGTGTGAGTAACCACACACACACACACAGAGTACCACCACACACACACACACACACACACACACACACAGAGAGTACCACACACACACACAGAGAGTACCACACACACACACACACACACACACACACACAGAGAGTACCACACACACACCACACACACACACACACAGAGACCACACACACACACACACAGAGTACCACACACACACACACACACGAGAGAGTACCACACACACCACACACACACACAGAGAGTACCACACACACACACACACACACACACACAGAGAGTACCACACACACACACACACACACACAGAGTACCACACACACACACACACACACACAGAGAGACCACCACACAGCAAAGAGAGAGACAGAGGGCGCTACAGAGAGCACCACGTGTGAGTACCACACACAGAGTACACACACACACACACACACACACAGAGAGTACCACACACACACACACACACACACAGAGAGTACCACACACACACACACACACAGAGTACCACACACACACACACACACACACACACACACACACAGAGAGTACACACACACACACACACACACAGAGTACCACACACACACACAGAGAGTACCACACACACACACAGAGAGTACCACACACACACACACACACACACACACAGACACCGCAGCAAAGAGAGAGACAGAGGGCGCTACAGAGAGCACCACGTGTGAGTACCCCACACACACACACACACAGAGAGTACCTCACACACACACAGAGTACCTCACACACAGAGAGTACCTCACACACACACAGAGAGACACCGCAGCAAAGAGAGAGACAGAGGGCGCTACAGAGAGCACCACGTGTGAGTACCCCACACACACAGAGAGTACCTCACACAGAGAGTACCTCACACACACACAGAGAGACACCGCAGCAAAGAGAGAGACAGAGGGCGCTACAGAGAGCACCACGTTGAGTACCACACACACACACAGAGAGTACCACACACACACACACACACAGAGAGTACCACACACACACACACACACAGAGTACCACACACACACACACACACACACACACACACACACAGAGAGTACCACACACACACACACACACAGAGAGTACCACACACACACACACACACAGAGAGTACCACACACACACACACACAGAGAGTACCACACACACACACACACAGAGAGTACCACACACAGAGTACCACACACACACACACACAGAGAGACACCGCAGCAAAGAGAGAGACAGAGGGCGCTACAGAGAGCACCACGTGTGAGTACCCCACACACACAGAGAGTACCACACACACACACAGAGAGTACCTCACACACACACAGAGAGTACCACACACACACACACACAGAGTACCGCACGCACACACACACACACACACACACACAGAGAGTACCACACACACACACACAGAGAGTACCCCACTCACACGCACACACACACACACACAGTACCATGTGTGAGTACTGATTACTCTGCGAGGGTAGTGTGATTACTCTGGAGTAGGAGTAGTGTGATTACTCTGGAGTAGGAGTAGTGTGATTACTCTGGAGTAGTGTGATTACTCTGGAGTAGTGTGATTACTCTGGAGTAGTGTGATTACTCTGGAGTAGGAGTAGTGTGATTACTCTGGAGTAGTAGTGTGATTACTCTGGAGTAGGAGTAGTGTGATTACTCTGGAGTAGTGTGATTACTCTGGAGTAGTGTGATTACTCTGGAGTAGTGTGATTGGAGTAGTGTGATTACTCTGGAGTAGTGTGATTACTCTGGAGTAGTGTGATTACTCTGGAGTAGTGTGATTACTCTGGAGTAGTGTGATTACTCTGGAGTAGTGTGATTACTCTGGAGTAGGAGTAGTGTGATTAACGTTGATGTTTGTTTCAGTCGTCGGAGGTCACGCAGTAAAAGTCCTCTGAGGAAGGAGAAGAGCCCCGTCAGGTCAGTGTGTGTGTATTGTGTGTAATGTGTGTGTGTGTGTGTAACGTGTGTGTGTAATGTGTGTGTGTAACGTGTGTGTAACGTGTGCATCGTGTGTGTAAAGTGTGTGTGTAACACTTGTAATGTGTGTAACTTGTGTGTGTGTGTGTAACATGTGTATCGTGTGTGTAAAGTGTGTGTGTGTAACACTTGTAATGTGTGTAACGTTTGTGTGTAACGTGTGTGTAACACTCTTCATGTGTGTATGGTGTGTGTAAATTGTGTGTGTAACGTGTGTGTGTGTAACACTCTTCATGTGTGTATGGTGTGTGTGTGTAACAGTCTTCATGTGTGTATGGTGTGTGTGTAACAGTCTTCATGTGTGTATGGTGTGTGTGTGTAACAGTCTTCATTAGAGCCCGACTGATATGGATTTTGTTGTGGCCGATATGAAACTGATATAATGGGAGTTGGAGCTGCCGATATAATCGCTGATATATTTAGTGATGTAAAAATTCACTGTAAATGTTGAATTGATTAAAAAACTTAGGTTTGGCTCTAGTGGATTTTAAATTGGGTTTATTTAGGCAACATTTATTGTTATTCTGACTCTTTACATCATATTTACATACAGTAGATTGGCCTAATTTTTGCATCACATTTTCACACACACACACACACCACACTGTCACTGCTAGTGATGGGTATTCCAGTTTTTTTTGTTTTTTTTTTGGAGAACCGGCTCGGCTCACTAAAGCAGTTGGCTCTTTCGGCTCCCAAGCGACTCTTGAGATGGTTTTGTTGCAAGCAGGACTAAACCAGAACTGAACCAGGACTGAGTGTCGGGACTCGGTTTCTCCTTCACTTAAGCCCAATTTTAGTCCTGGTTTATTCATTTTATGCTGAACTGCAGCCAAATATGCACTTTTTTTTTATCCAATGCACATGCAG